TACCTTAACTTCAACACACGCTATAATTTACAACGCGTTAACGATTCACGCATTTTACTTACTACCGCGCTTGACTCAATTGTCCGTCTATATCTTCAATCTCTCTGTCTGCTATACAATTCCGATTAATTGCCTGGTGCACTTATATACAAAAATAGAGGGTGCTTAGCAAATACTGGATTATTCGTGATGTTCCCCGATCTTTCTAGAACTCATTACGTGTTGCCAGTGTCACGTGACTTTCGCTGTCGTAACAGTATTTCTTTTCTTCAAGGATAATAAGTTTAATATACTTTAATTATATCCACAGAGAGTTTGCCGAAAGGCTTTTTTAAATTCATTTAATTGCATTACGTATTTTTTGGGAAAAGCTTCTTTTGATTTCAAATTAAAAGATAATAAACTGTGATTGACCAATTATTTTGTTAGTTTTGGTTTTTCACAAAGATTTTAAGTGACGCATACGTTTAGGTAGTATTGTTATAGCATACAGGTAATTTACTGATATAGAGATCTTTGTCACGATTGTTCTCTGGCCTTGTGAATAGTGTGAAATTTTATGCTGTTGTACTCCTTATATTTTTATTATAGAGATTGTTTTGCATTGTTTGGGACTAACCTAAATCTCCTAAAATGGCCGAACTTCGTGAGATATTAATGAGTTTACGGCAAAAGATATCGTCAAAAGCTAGTGTAACCAGCTAATAAGATAGCGCATTATCTAAAAGTTAGCATGCTGTGATCAGAAATTAATAGGCCTGGTATGACCTGGTGGATAAGGCGCTCGACTCGCAATCAAAGCGCCGAGTCAAGGTCAATTCCACTATTAGTTTAAAAGAGCAGCCCAAAAGTTGGCGGTGGGTGGTGTTGATTAGATACCTTCCCTCTAGTCTATCGCTGCAAAATTAGGGACGGCTAGAACAGATAGCTATCGTGTAGCTTTGCGTGAAATTCAAACCGAACCGGAAGTTAATATTTTTGAATATAATGTTTATTCATTGAGGTAGGATTTATAAAGCTGATTTATTAACTTTGTTGTACAATTTAATATATAGGATAATATGTATCACACTGAGCATTCTCGTAATATTTTTATTTGTAAATTTTTTATACTTGGTTACAAACTTAAACCTATGGGCCGAACACGACCGTAGTTATAGTGCTGGACTATGGGTCTGAGGTTTCGTCGTTCGCACATCATTACTGCTAAACAAAAATATAGAAAATCGCCTTCCCCCCCTTGTGGTCTTGAGTGCATTATAAGAATTATGTTTAAATTCTACTATTAGACGAACCCAAACGTAGTGTTGACTAACTCTCTTCCTTCTAGTCTATCACTTCAAAATTAAGAACAGTTAGATCATCTAGCCTTCGAGTAGCTTTGCACAAAATTTAACATTCAAGCATATTGGAGGCCGTAATCTCGAGTTATCATCTGGCCTACCATTGGAAGACACTGACTGTTAGCATTATTGTACAAATTGCAGTATCACAACCATCCTTTTCATGGGAAAAGCTGCAGAACAAGTGTTATGCCATAGAATGACAAAGGAAGAACGAAATAAACTTTACGGCTTTATGGACCACATGTCGTGTGAAGTTTGAACAGATCTAGAATAAACAACAACAAAGAAAGATCTTACATTTAAACAAGAAGGTGGAAACGTATGTATGCTTGCAAAGCCCATCACAAAAGCACTGTCTAGTGTTTATTTGTTGAATTTTGATCAAAATTACTCAAGGGCTATCTGCGCTAGCCATCCCTAATTTAAAAGTGATAGAATAATTCTTTCTCAAACCCTACACACCTATAATTCTGGGGATACTCTTTACCAAGTAAAAACGGGATTTATCATAACATTATAATGCTCCTGTTGCTGAAAGGACAAGCATATTCGGCGAGGGAATTCGAATCTGCAACTTACACATCGTTAATAGAGAGCCTTATCCACTAGACCACGCCAGGCTTCAGTGTCAAGTCTAGTGAAATAATGGTTGGAGACGGCTTGAATGGGTAATGAAGAAAAAACTTTAATATAAGTTTAACATAACAGCAAATGTACAACATCATGAC